ACACTGCAGATTAGATTTCAACACATGAATTTTGGCAGGACACAAAACATTCAGTCCGTCGTCGCAGTGTATGTATTGTTTTTACTTCTGTTGTTGTTTGAACTTTATTTATTTATTTTTGGTACTAGGCGTTGAATCCAGGGATTCTTTACACTGAGCCACACCTCCAGCCCCCACCCCACCTCTTTTAAAAAATTTTTTGAGACAGTCTCACTAAATTGCTGAGGTTGGCCTTGAACTTGCAATCCTCCTGTCTCAGCCTCCAGCACCATTGGGATTACAGGCATGCGCCACACCTCCAGCTTTATTTGAACATTTTTAAATAAAAGCAGCATACTGTGAATAAGGAGTCAAGTATTGCTAATAATGGGCTGTATATTAATTTAAGACATTTATAGATTTTCATTGTTCTATACGACCAAGGGCCTCGGGCATGCTGGGCAAATTCTTTACCACAGAGTTATACCTCTTGCCCTAAAATAAGATTCTAAGAGAGCTTGGATGTCTTTTGTTATCATCTATATACAGAGCACTTTTTCGTAGGCTGTATCTTTGAGTTCTCAACAGCAGACACATTTATCCCATTTCACAGTAACCTACTGGGGTCTAGCAAGTTGAAGTTGTATTTTTTGTTCAAGGAAAATAATAGTTCACATTCAATTTTTTTTTTCAGTTAATCATGCCTTATCTCTAAGGTGCCTCCCGAACATAAAACTGATAAATTTGAAGTGTTTATTGACACTAGACATGAACCCAATTCTGTTCACTTAAACAGCATAAGACACAATCCCTCCCCTCCTTCGATCCGCCTCTAACCCACAGCACAGATGCCCATTTGCCCCCTGAATCAACTTAGCACCAGTCGTGCAGAAACACCGGTGACACAGACCTGCATCTCCTTGGAGAGCCATGTATTAAACAGAAAGGAGGAGCATGGGCCAGTCTGCGGGTGGTGCCACCAGGTGTAACCACGGCTGCGTTGGAGAGAGGACCGTGGGTGTGGCCTGTTTTACAGGGCCAGCTAGGGAGGGCCTCCAGAAGAGGTGTCACTTTGCCAAGGCTGAGCTGTAGGACAGCAAACCCTGGGCATCAACACAGGAAGCAGCCGTGAGTCGAGGAACAGAAAGAGGCTGGGTGCCAGAGAAAGGCAGAGGGGCCGGCAGGCGATGCAGAGACCAGGCCTGGACTCAGCACCCTGTGCAGGGCACAGCTCCTCCTCAGCACACCCTTGTCCACCTCTCAGAGGCAGCACAATCTAGCAACCAGAGAGGAAACAAGGAGGTCCCCAGCTTCCTGCTGCCCTGAGGCACTGCCCCTCCTGATGGTTTCTTCTGATCCCAGTGGGCAGGTGTCCTTTCTCCTGTGAGACACTGATCCTTCACCCTCATCCAGACCCACTCTCCGGCTTCCCTGGGATTTAGCTATGCCGTCCACTCATCCATTCAACACGAGTGCATTGCTGGGCAGATGTTGGGCACAGAAGTGAAGAGAGCAGAACCCCCCAGGTCACAGAGACCAAGCTTGTGGAGGAGACAGACACAGAATATTCACTGATGTGATGAGAAACTGATGTGACTCCATTTCTGAGAAACCAGCTTCTACCTCAAGGCCTGTCCTAAGGAAGGGGGCGGGACCCTTGTCCTTGGAAAAACCTACAGAGCACTCCTAAGCACATACCCACCCTGCTGAGTTGTTTGTCTGCAAATAACAGGAGAGATCTGCAGTGCCAGGTGTCCCTGACTCAACTAGGCTAGGTGAGGACCCATAGCAACCCCCTAACAACCTCCAATCAGCATGAGAAAGGGAAAATACCTGGGATGCCAGATGACCCCAAGTAGTTTATGGTGGTTGATAACATGTTGGGAAACCATGTAGTTCAGCACGTACTCTCCTCGTGGCCTAAACCAATCTGTTCAAATGAATCCCCCTCTTGTACTAAACAATCACCCCTACCCAACTTGTTCCCGCCAGTGAATGTGCTAATCAATGTTAAGAGTTGTTGTTTGACTTTCCCGTGGTGTGGAATGATTTGCTGTATGATGTTGTGACACATAGAGTATCCCCAAAAATCTATAAAATCTCACTGAACAAAGGACCAGGACTCACTCCCTGGGACCGCTGCATTGGGAACGGAACGGTTGTGAGTCCAGGCTGGAGCTTGCAATGAAGACTCTTTTGTGATTGCATCAGATTCGGCTCCTGGAGGTCTATTGGGGTCCCACGAATCTGGCATTACAGTGGCAAGGTATATGGTGATGACCAGCACTTGAGAGATAAATAAACCAGGGTAAGGGACATCAAAGTTGGAATTTAAAACAGGATGGTGAAGTAGGAGAGCAAACCATAACAATTTCTGGGGGTAAAAATCACCCCACATAGAGACCAGCAGCAACAAAGCCCAGAGGCAGGGGCTCCCAGGTGGTGCAGAGGTACAAAGAGCCTGCTGAGGAAGTGCCCCGGAGCAAGGAGGTGGCCTGTCAGAGGCTTGGGAGCAGATCACATGCACAGACCTTGGTGGCCTCTGGAGGGCAGTCACTGGAGTGTCCAGCAGAGAAGGGTCGGGCTCTGACTGCTGACTCAGAAATTGTTTCAGATGCTTGGCTGGGCCTGGGCTATCTTAGAGGAGGGCAGGCAGAAACCTGAAGACCAGCCGGAACCCCGCAGTGAGGTGATGATCAGCGTGGGGCGGAGCTGTGGGACAGGTGAGAGTTTCTGGTGCTAGGTTAATAATTTAAAGGCAGAGTTGAAGGCTTTGCTGGTGGACGTGGCCTTGGGTGTGAATAGAGTGGAGCCAGGTGACTCCAGGTTGTAGTCTTGAGAAACCAGAAGGATGAGGTTATCCATTTCTGAATTGGGGAGACGGAGAGACAAGGAGCAAGAGAGAATAAGCATTCAGTTATGGCTGTGTCAAGGTTGAGGGATCCCTTAGAGATTCACGTGGAGATGTGGAGTAGGTGAGTAAACACCAGTGGTGCAGTCCCGGTGAGCATGGGAGCTGGAGATGAAACAGTATGCTCAGCTTTGCTGTTTGAAAAGTTTCATGATGAACTGGGTTTAGAAGGAAGAATTGCACTTTGCTAGTGATAACAGAGACCTGAATACCACTGGCTTTAACAAGAGTTTACCTTCCTCTCACATAAATGAATTCAGAGGTAGCTGTCCAGAGCTGATCTGGAAATGACAGAGGTGTCATTCACACCCTAGTGTCCTGTTATTATTCTCTAGTGCCTCCACATGTGGCTGCTGTACCTCCAGCTCCAAAGTCCACATTCCAGACAGGAGGAAGGAGGAGGGATGTAAGAGTCTCCTAGTGCCGCAGTCTGGCTGGGCACAAATCACGAGCCACTGAAGCAGGAACAAACTTTATTTTTAAACTGCAGGAAAACACTTCACACAGCTCCCGGGGAATCCTCCCAAACGCGCCACGAGGCTTGTCCAGGAACCCCCAGCCGGAAAAAATCTCTCCCGGAAATCCCTCCTCCTGCACTTCCCCAACCAATGGGAACTCTCGGGGAATCCCTGGAAATCCCCACGAGAACTCCAAAATAGTGCGAGAACTCAAAAGTTGCGGCAGAGGCGGATAGTAATGCCTCACCTGTCAATCAATACTGTTGGCAAAATGCCAGGGGCCATACAGACTCAGCCGTGGCTCTCAGCATCCTAGCTGTTTCAACCTCCTCTTTTAAGGATCTCTCAAAGAAGCACAACTGCCACCCTCAAACCATTGGGTCAAATTCAGCCCCTTGGCCTCCCCTGTGTAAGAGGCATGAGCATATGGCAATAACGAGAGGGGGAGGTGGTTATTACTGAGAACACTGAACACTGAGTGGGGGGAGGTGGTTATTACTGAGAACACTGAACACTGAGTGCTGGACAGAACACAAACAACCCAGCCATCCCTTCCACACAGCTTAAATTAAAATGGTTGTGATATAAACTTCCATCAGCCAAGATAACAGCTAAGTCCTGGGAGATTTAATTACTTTAGGGGTCTATTTTATGACCTAAATAAAGTGAGGACTTATTTTTGGTTTGTTTATTCAAATAAAAGTCCTGAGTGCAAGGTGACAAAGTTTGTTCCAAGGACCCCTTACAATGACACCATTCACAGTCTACCTGAAGTTTAACCTCAGGGCATACTACACTGGCAGAGTGAGAAACAGAAATATATGGAGACATAATGCGGCACAAACAAGGAGCCATGGGTGAATGAAGATATTTTTATGGAAAAACTTACCAAGAAATCACTGGCAGCATTGCCTCTGGAAACGGTAAAACTACATAATGTGGTGGAGCTAAGACTTGAATTCTGGAAGTACTGAGATAGTGGACTGGGCTTTAGTACTTTCCTTGGGCTCTGCTGTAGAAGGTATAACCTCCTCCACGTGCCCACGTGCATGCAAGGAGAAAAGAGAAAACTGCAGTGTCATTTTAAGCAATAACTCTTCCTCTCTTCACCCATTGAAATCTTCTCCTACTCGTTTTTGCTGTGCCTAGCGTAAGACATAAAGCAGGTGGATGTAAAGAAACACGGATCAGCGGGGCCCGGGGGCACAGCTGAGGGATCCAGAGGCCTTATGAATAAGGAGGGCTGGGGATGTGGCTCGGCGGTTAGCGCCCCTGGGATCAATGAGCTGAGCGGCCGGAATAAAACAAAAAACGCTGATTATACACACATACAAAACCCTGATTTGTCCAGGAAGAAGGCCGGTACTGTTTCTCAGCTTCTTTCTCGATCTCCTTTCCTTTGCACCACCGCATCTGAACCACCGGAAGGATGGGCAAAATTACACCAAGTTTGGCCTCAGGGCGCCCCCGTACCGAGTCCTTACGTAACGATCTGCAACCTAACTTACAACGTAACGAGAAGTTAATAGCGGTACATTCTTGTTACCGTAGTCTCTTAGCCAATCACAGCCCCCAGGATACCGCTTTCACGTGGGGAAGCCTCAGCCAATCACAGCAGCCAAGCTCCAGCCAATCACAGGCAGCCTTGGCTGAAGGCGGGCTTGGCCTGGCGGTCTCTGGGAGCCATGCGGCTGCTCTCGTCCTCGCAGGGCCCTGAGCTACCCGGCCGGCTCTGCTCCGAGTCGTGCCCTGCCTAGTTCAACTCTGCCAAGTTTGCCTCAAGTCCTTGTTTCCTCTGAGCGCACTATGGGCTACCTCGTCCGGGGGCCGCGACCTGCAGATGGAGTTCCGGGGGTGAGTGGGGAAGGACCCCAGCCAGGGCAGCGGGCCGGGAGGAGCGGGGCCAAGGGCCGGGTGGGCGCGCAGGGAAGCGCCGGCTCGCGCGGAGGCGGCGGGAGTGCGCTCCTGCAGAGCTGGACAGCCCGAGTGAGGAAGCTGCGAGGGTCTTACCCGTCTGCTGGCCCTCTGTGTTCAACAGGGCTCAAAAAGTGCGGCTTTTTAAAAAAAAATTTAATGGTGCTGGGGATTAGAACCCAGGACCTTGTGCATGCGAGACAGGCACTCCACCACCGAGCTGTGTCCCCCGCTCCCTAAATCAACTTTTCAAATGTCTTCATTCGTGCAGTAGGATTATGCACAGCAGTGTTGCCGAGCCGGGGCCTTTCGGGAACAAAGCCGCCCTCTGGCGGTCGGGTCAGACTTCAGATCTGTCCCTCAGAGTGACAGACAAGAGTTTATTAGAAGGGAAAGGGGACACTCAAGGGAGAGCCTGGGCCCTCTCGAAGGGGAGAGGTTTGCCGCGCCGCTCCTGCTTTCTGGGGGAAGTCCCGCTCGATCCAACTTCTCTGTATATGGAGACTAGAGGATGAACCCAGAGATACTGTGAGTCTGAGCTACATCTGCATTTCCAGGCCATTTGGTTAGGGCCTCGTTAAGGTGCCGAGGCTGGTCCTGAGCCCAGTCCACTTTCTGACTTCTGACTGTAGGAGCTGCATGGACCACCTCCAAGAGGATGGTGTGGCAATTTGAGAGTAGGAGCTTTTAAGGAAATTGAGTCACTTGCTGCTGTTGTCTCAATTTCCTGACCCTCCTTAATCAGCTCATTACCCTTTGAATAGTCCCCATCAAGTTTTGTGAGGGTCTTGATGTTTGGGTAATTGGGGTGATGGGGTTGTGACATAGTTTTGGTGATAAGGGAGGGTCCTAGAGACTTAGTTATTAGAGGTAAAAGAGTAGTTTTTCTTAATTAAATCTGAAACATTTTTTTTAAATTGGTTCTTTTTAGTTATACGTGACAATCTGTTTTGATATAATTATACAAACATGGGATATATCTTATTCTAATTAGGACCCCATTCTTACGGATGTACAGGATGATGGCGTTCACTGTGGTGTTTTCATATATGTACATAGGAAAACTATGTGAGATTCGTTCTGTCTTTCCTATCCCCCATTTCCTCCCTCCAGTCCCCTTTGTCTAATCTATTGAACTTCTATTCTTCCCCTACCCACCCTCCCTTATTGTGTATTAGCATCTGTATTTCAGAGAGAACATTTGGCCTTTGGTTTTGGGGGATTGGCTTATGTCGCTTAGCATTATATTCTCCAGTTCCATCCATTTACCAGCAAATGCCATGTTTCATTCTTAATTACGGCTGAGTAATATTCGACTGTGTATACATACACCACATTTTCTTTATCCATTCATTTATTGAGAGGCACCCAGGTTGGCTCCATAGCTTAGCTATTGTGAATTGAGCTGCTATACACATTGATGTGGCTATGTTACTGTATTATACTGATCTTAAATCCTTTGGATATAAAAAGAGAAGTGAGATAGTGGGTCATAAGGTGGTTCCATTCCTAGTTTTTTGAGGAATTTCCATATTGCTTTCCAGAGTGGTTGCACCAATTTACAGTCCCACCAGAAATATGAGTGTGCCTTTTTCACCACATCCTCACCAAATTTATTGTCACTTTTATTCTTGATAATTGCCATTTGGTCTGGAATGAGATGAAATCTCAGTGTAGTTTTCATTTGCATTTCTCTAATTGCTAGAGACCTTGAACGTTTTTTCATGTATTTGTTGGCCATTTGTATTTCTTCTTCTGAGCAGTATCTGTTCAGATCTTTTGCCCATTTGTTTATTGATTGGATCATTCATTTTTTTGATGTTAAGCTTTTTTGAGTTTTTGTGTATCCTGGAGGTTAACACCCTATCTGAGGTGCTGGTGGCAACGATTTTCTCCCGTTCTGTAGGCTCTCTGTTCATTCTCCTGATTGTTTCCTTTGCTGTGAAGATTTTTAGTTTGTTGATTTTTTAATTTCATTTCTAGCGTTCAGCTCAAAGTGGATCAAAGACCTAGGAATTAGACCAGAAACCCTGCACACGCTAGAAGAAAATGCAGGCCCAACACTTCACATGTAGGTCAGGAACCGACTTCCTTAATGAGGCAGGTTTTACCGACCACGCCCCCATCTGTCAGATAGGGTGCCTGTGGTTCTGCCCTCTGCTGTCTTTGTCCTGCTCACCATTCCTGACTGAATAGCTGCCTAACAGTAGTGGTGGTCAGTGTGACGTTCGTGCGTGCACATAGCATCATCCGCTCCATTTTGTCCCCTTACTTCCCCTGTCCCTCGCCTCCTCTTTCCCACTGATTGCCTTCCTCTACTCCTCTGGTCTTCCTTCTAACTATTTCTTATTTGGTGCGTTATAATCATACATAAAAGTTCAGGATTGTGGTATATTCATACATGCATGTAGCATAATCTGGTTGATTTTATTCCCCCTTTTCCTCCCCAAGAAGTGTGTTTAAAGATTTCTATGTATATCGAAAAATTTATTAACTTCCTGTTTTCCCAAAGCCTCCATGTTCCCAGGGTCTGGCACAGCTAAGTGCACCATGACAAGGCTGACCCTGCCACAGGTTCCCCTTCTTGCTCCACCCACACCTACCCCCTGACTGGGACCTCGTCACCCCCCATCTTTTGATCTTCCTCTGTTCCTCCATTGTCACTTTTACATTCTTACCATAAGAATTACCCCACAGCAAGGTCTGAGTGCTTATCTGTACCAGATTGTAGTGGAGATCAGTTTTTTGTTTGTTTCTTTTGTTTTATTTTGTTTTGTTGGTACCAGGAATTGAACCTAGGGACATTTATTCACTGTTCACATCCCTATCCTTTTTATTTTTAATTTTAAGACAGTCTTGCTGAGGGCCTTGCTAAATTGCTGAGACTGGCTTTGAACTTGCAGTCCTCCTGCCTCAGCCTCCCAAGCCGTTGGGATGACAGGTGTGCACCACCACCCCCAGCTGTTTTTTCCATTAATTTTCTAGACTTAGTTCCTGACTGACTTCAATTTGCAAATGGCAAATTACTATATTTGGAAGATTTTTTGTTTTCATTTTTGGAGATATATTCTATCACTAAATAGTAACATTTGTGAGACACATATACACTACTGGCTTTATTTTATGTAAAAAGATATTAAAGTACACAGTCTTATTTTATACTTGATAACTTCATGCCTCATTCATGAAGCAAATATGGAGAGAGCAAAACTTATTTATATGAAAGCAAGGTAACTTTAAAATCTTAATAATTGCTAATGGCTCTGTACTTTTATGTTGCATAGTTTTTATTACCATGATGTAGGGAATCTTCTAGCTTTTCAAAGCTGATTTTTACCAGAAGATTTTTTAAATCAAATTATTTATTCTAATTTGTTATACACGCTGGCAAAATGCAGTTCATTTCATATTACACATATAGAGCATGATTTTTCAAGCCACTGATTGTACACAAAGTATTTTCACACCATTCCTGTCTTCATACATGTACTTAGGGTAATAATGTCTAACTCATTCCCCCATCTTTCTTACCCCTTTGCCTTCTCCCTTCCCCTCCCTCCCCTTTGCCCTATCTAGAGCTCCTCCATTCTTCCCATGGGTCATGTCCCCCACCATCGCCACTATGAGTCAGCATCTTCTCCTCATATCCAAGAAAACATTCGGCCTTTGGTTTTGAGGGATTGGCTAATTTCACTTAGCATTATGTTCTCCAACTCCATCCATTCTATGCAAATTCCATGATTTTATTCTCTTTTAATGCTGAGTAATGTTCCATTACTCAGTATATATACCACAGTTTCCCTATCCATCTACCAAAGGGCATCTAGGTTGGTTTCACAATTTAGCTATTGTGAATTGTGCTGCTATAAACCTTGATATGGCTGTGTCCCTGTAGTATGCTGTGTTGGGAAAAGGTATAATGGCAGCCACACCCAAAAAAACCCCAACATGGCGCCTGAGGAGCTTCTCTTCCTGCCTCTCCCTTTCCCGCCTGCGCCAATATTCAAATCCTGCTGGCGGGAAACCTTAGCCCCAATAAGAACTAATTTCGTGGGCTCCAGAACTGACATCTGGAAGAACTAACCGATAAACGGGTGACCCGTCATTTACCTAAGCCCTGCCACTTCTCCTTAGATCTATATAAGCCCACAGCCTTTTGTAATAAAGTGGAATTTCTCCGGTGATTTGTCTCACGTCGCTTCTTCTTTCATTGGTGCCGAAACCGGAGATGGGTGAGCTCATTTTAACAGAGCCCCATCTCCGGCTCCACCGAGACATCTCGCCCTCATCCACCTTTTCAGGCGCTGGCTCCCTACACCCACCACCAATCGGACTTAGACAGTTTCCCCTATTGGCTCGTCACCCTCTTTGAGCTACAGCAGGAACTGTGACCGTGATCATCTGGCACACTCCTGACTTCCGGCCCAAAGGTTCTCTCGTTCGTTCTCTCTCTCTCTCTCTCTCTCCATCTCTTTCTGTGACCATGGGTGCCTCCTTCTCTATACCTCCTCGTCTAAACCTCGCCCCTCAAATGTCTAATGAAAAATCTGACCACACTCTCCCTCGCACCAGACATCAAGCCCAAACTCCTGATCAAATTCTGTACCCGAGATTGGCCTACATATCCTCAGGATAATGGCAATCATTGGCCTCTAGAAGGCTCATTAGATCCAAATCTTCTCCGGGACCTTTTTAACTACTGCTGGCATCTGAAAAAGTGGAAGGAGATTCCCTACGTTGAAGGTTTTAGCCTTCTCGCACAGCACCCTGCTCTCTGCTCCTCCTGCTCTCCCTCTCAGGTTCTCCTTGCTTGCAAACCCCTCCCTTCCCCTACTTCTACTCCTGACCTCGAGGACTCTTCCTCATTTGACCCGGCAGACGAACCCCCACCTTATCCCTCAGCCCCACCTGCTCCTCCCCTCCCGCCATCCCCTCCTCTT